CCTCATGACCTCAACTCAAATGTCGTTCATTATCAACATCTGGTAATCTCTAACGAAATCTTCATTCAATGCGAGAAATGAAAGTCGCATTAGTTGTAACTTGGAGATATGATCATGTAAAATTATTTCGTTGTAGAGGATAACCTGAGATAATTTACAGTTACAGATATCGTTTTTGTGAATCAGGATGTAAACTTCGAAACTTCCAAAAAGAAAATGGAGGTGTTACATCCTAGTGGAGATTATACTACGGGTAACTTCTGAGAAGTATTAATGGACTAATAATATATATACATTCTTGTTGTATAACTATCCAGTCACTAGATTGTGTATGATCACTACAGGTGGTCAACCAAATGTAGCAGGGTACTTCAAATGCACACATTGAATTTCACACATCTAACACCAAGAGTAAAGAGAATTTAGGGCAACATCTAATTGATTATATCAACCATGATGATGATGATGATGATGATGATGATGATGATGATGAATGATAAGTGTGTTTTCCCATTAAAATATCATCATTCCAATGGAATTTCACTCCAATGTCACAATATGGCATCCTCTGATAACACAGAACAAATAATTGAGCACCTTACACTGAATAATGAAAATCAATCGAAACAATGCACAATGTAAGTAATAATTAGAATTATGCAACCAATCAATGAGTGATTGCAAAACATATTCGTGTAAATGTAATTCATAGTTGCACAATCAACACGAATTCAAGTGAATACAAACAGTAAAGTTACACAAGTCACGTTGAACTAATGGCACATGCATAGTCTACACCATCGACACATCACAGAATGATTCAATTGATTTACAACTTCATTTGATCTGCATATTCAAATTAACTTCAAGTGAAGTTAATCAAACTGATCAAATTTGCAATCAGTTCACAAATAAAAAAGAATAAATATGATTACTGATAGTGCAAACAAGTCGTTGACTGATTCCAACTAGTCTCCTCATTGCTACTTCCATGCTGACACATCCTCAATGATCGAATTCCATCAATTCGATACAATCGGATGAGTATCAATTAATCCAGTCAAACAGTAACGTCTATTGAATCGGTCGAATCACTAATATCATCAATCATCACACAGTCACATAATACCTCTTAGTGAATTCCAAGTCCATTCATCTTAACGTGATGCTCCTCACAGTCATTCAATGTGTAATGCAAAATCATCGTGTAAAATGAAAAACCACATTGTTAACTTCATCATTTATTCTCACCAAAATCAAAACTCTCCATAAACTCACCTTGATGGAATCATCAGTTTAGTGTGAACACAATGTATACAAGAAAGTATTGAGGCAAAGTGAAATAGACGAATAAAACAATATGCTTATCATTTCATTTCAATAAACAAAGTCACAATATGGGAAACTGCATAAGAAAACAAAAAATCAAAAACAAAATCAGAAAAACACAAGTTCACATACATCGATCCACCACTCAATATCACATCACATCACATCACATCACATCTCATCACTATAATTAGTAGTCATAGTAACAAGAATAATAGTATGCTCATCCATATTATTATTGTTCCCAATCACCACCAACACCATCACCACCACCACAACAACAACAACTATTCAATATAATCTGTATTCAGTAATTGTGTATATTCAATATTATCATATTGATTAATGGAATTAGATTTATTCAATGATTCTCTACCATATTTATATAATGATGGTGTCCTCCTAATCGACAAGTTCGTCATCTCAGTCCAATCCGATGAAACACCATAACATTTAGCTATTACTATTAATAATAATAATTGTCCAATCATCACAATAAACATATGCCATACAAATATCACAACAGTTAACATCACTTTATCATGATCAGTTTCATCCCATGCTTGATTGAATGGAGAATTTAATAAAAATCCACTTTGACATATCCATGATCCATGTATCATCACACTGAAACATTTGATCCATGTCCATAATAAGGAGTTGTTAAACACCCCATACCCAACCCCAACTTCAACTGCCTTCATTGACGTCAACATCATCATTTTATGTATCATCGAGCAACCAACTATCAATCCCCAATAACTAATCAATAAACAACAGGTTTCTGTAATATGTGGTTGTTGATAGGATTGAGCACGTAAACAATAAGTATGTACAAAGAATGGTAATGCATATATCATAGAATCAAATCCTTTCGGTAATACAATCATTGTTGTCGACATGAATATATCCAATAAACCAACTAGCAACATTGCTGTATAAAATGGAAATTGAGCATATTCATGATGACGACCTAATTTCAATGTGATCAATTCTACACCAATACCAATCAAACAACAAATTACTTTACATAAACCTTCTCCTCTACTATGTTTACAATAACTCCGTGATCCAATGGACACAGTTGTAGTAGATTGTTCATTATGATGCTTGTGTTTCGTTGTAGAATAATGTTGTCTTAATGCTTGAATCCACCACCAAATTCCTAAACATAATAGATATATTCCTAAATAGGTATAACTAAGAAATAATCCATCATTTCCATGATTAATTAGATGACTTGATGACATTGAATTAACATTCTCATTATGTTCATGAATATCATCATGATTAGAATGTTGCATCATTCAATGGACTAGTTGAATAGAAACGAATCTAATCATATTCTATGTATTATATACACTAAATAGGTTTAATGTTTCTGTTATATCTAATCATTGGTTCAATAAATGTTTACAATGAAAAGAAATACTATAAGCTTTTTAACCAATCACATTCTAAATTCCATTTAATCTCTCATCACTATGGTAACTGAGTGAGTGAGTGAGTGCGTGATGAGTGAGTGAGTGCGTGAGTGAGTGCGTGAATGAGTGAGTGTGTGGGTGAGTTGACAACCAAATTAGAATGAAATGAACAATCTCATTGATTTATTTAATGAGTAGGTCACATGATGCATTTTTCTCTTAAATTGGATTATTAAGGTTGAAAATGTTTACCCTCTCTCTCTCTCTCTCTCTCTCCAGTAGTTCATACACACAACGGTGTATTTACATTTTGATAAATAATAAACTGAATGTTACTATGCTCGTATACATTCAGTCTCATTAATAGTCTATATCTTATATTTATTTAAGCAGAGATGAATAGTGAGATGGTGGAGAAGATTTGTACTTCAGGTGGATGAATTTTATGGAATTTCGTCCTCTGAGCTAGATGGTTTAATTATGGAGCATTCATCGTTTTTCTCAACGACATAATCAACATGAATCACTTCATATCTCTCCATATATGGTTTACAGCTTGTTATGTAGACCTCGATGTTGATCGGTTCTTCTTGATCAATGTATGATTATGTAGTATGAATGTTAATTAATAAGTGATTTAGCTTAATTTCATATATGATATTGATTACTTATTATTAAATTTTAATAAGTAGTATGTGATGTATTGTAAAATCTGACATGTTATTCAATTAGTTTAGTTTAATGTCTTTTGTCCGTTAGGAAAAGAAAAGGTGATTCAACTCATGAATGTGACGTATAAGTTATTACTGTAAATCAAGGAGAACTGATCAGCTGATTTCTGTGAACATGATCCTCCTCAACGGTGATTCCGATAGTCTTATGTAATTCGATAAGGCAGTAAGGTCATGGTTTTTTTTCTCTCGTTGAACATGTTCAAATGTAACATAATACAATGTGATGATTCATGAATACGGTAGGAAAATCTACAATTGATTTCATTCAATAAAGATTCTTTATCTTTTCTCTAAATGTTCTCTGGATCGAGTTGATATTTCATTAGAAGATTTGGTGATTATAAGTGTATTGTAAAATATCCAAGTTAATCTATGAATATATAAGCATAACAGTCATCACCAATTACTGGAATGATCATCATTCTTAATTGATAGTTTAACTAAGCTGTAAGTATCAACCCTGTGTTAACTGTTCTTTAGTCTGTTGACAAAAGCACTGACCATGAGACTTGAAAGTTCTGGGTTCAATCCATGACTGAGTCATTGATACCCAATGTTATATAGTTTCATATTAAGATGAGATTGATCATTGATGAATAGGATATACTAATTGAATAAATCTTTACGAAATTATCAAAAAAAAATTCCTGTTACTCTTACATAGAGTTCTTTTAATGACTATTGAATCACTTCACTTACTGCCTTATCCAAGTACACAAGACTATCGGAATTACCATTGAAGAGGATCATATTGACAGAAATCAGATGATCAGTTTTCTAGGATTCACATCAACTATAAATATTCTTCCTAATTTTTCACACTGGTTTATAACCGTCATTTAATCGCAGTATATAGGTGAACATTCTCAAGGTATTATTAGCGTCACTTACAGATCATCCATAAATTCTAGTCTCACCATTAACATAAATCACTCATTTATTAAGGTTCATAACGTTCATATTACATAATCACTAATTGATCAACCCATATACATCGATTTTCAAAAGATATAGACTATTAATGAGACTGAATGTATACGAGCATAGTAACATTCAGTTTATGGTTTATTAAAATGTAAATACACCGTTGTGTGTATGAACTACTGGAGAGAGAGAGAGAGAGAGAGAGAGGGTAAACATTTTCAACCTTAATAATCCAATTTAAGAGAAAAATGCATCATGTGACCTACTCATTAAATAAATCAATGAGATTGTTCATTAAATTCTAATTTGGTTGTCAACTCACCCACACACTCACTCATTCACGCACTCACTCACTCACTCACGCACTCACTCACTCACTCACGCACTCACTCACTCACTCAGTTACCATAGTGATGAGAGATTAAATGGAATTTAGAATGTGATTGGTTAAAAAGCTTATAGTATTTCTTTTCATTGTAAACATTTATTGAACCAATGATTAGATATAACAGAAACATTAAACCTATTTAGTGTATATAATACATAGAATATTATTAGATTCGTTTCTATTCAACTAGTCCATTGAATGATGCAACATTCTAATCATGATGATATTCATGAACATAATGAGAATGTTAATTCAATGTCATCAAGTCATCTAATTAATCATGGAAATGATGGATTATTTCTTAGTTATACCTATTTAGGAATATATCTATTATGTTTAGGAATTTGGTGGTGGATTCAAGCATTAAGACAACATTATTCTACAACGAAACACAAGCATCATAATGAACAATCTACTACAACTGTGTCCATTGGATCACGGAGTTGTTGTAAACATAGTAGAGGAGAAGGTTTATGTAAAGTAATTTGTTGTCTGATTGGTATTGGTGTAGAATTGATCACATTGAAATTAGGTCGTCATCATGAATATGCTCAATTTCCATTTTATACAGCAATGTTGCTAGTTGGTTTATTGGATATATTCATGTCGACAACAATGATTGTATTACCGAAAGGATTTGATTCTATGATATATGCATTACCATTCTTTGTACATACTTATTGTTTACGTGCTCAATCCTATCAACAACCACATATTACAGAAACCTGTTGTTTATTGATTAGTTATTGGGGATTGATAGTTGGTTGCTCGATGATACATGAAATGATGATGTTGACGTCAATGAAGGCAGTTGAAGTTGGGGTTGGGTATGGGGTGTTTAACAACTCCTTATTATGGACATGGATCAAATGTTTCAGTGTGATGATACATGGATCATGGATATGTCAAAGTGGATTTTTATTAAATTCTCCATTCAATCAAGCATGGGATGAAACTGATCATGATAAAGTGATGTTAACTGTTGTGATATTTGTATGGCATATGTTTATTGTGATGATTGGACAATTATTATTATTAATAGTAATAGCTAAATGTTATGGTGTTTCATCGGATTGGACTGAGATGACGAACTTGTCGATTAGGAGGACACCATCATTATATAAATATGGTAGAGAATCATTGAATAAATCTAATTCCATTAATCAATATGATAATATTGAATATACACAATTACTGAATACAGATTATATTGAATAG